CACCAGCTTATGCTTCCTAAACAACACAATTTCCTCACAAGAACAATCAGAACCTGGACAACTCCAGACAGGGATTTCTGACCTGCATTGCACTTAATTAAGACCTCATCACAAACATTCTTTAAAATAAATTTTCTTATCTTGGAAACCATTCCCACCAATGGAAAATGGTGCTGAAACCAGAGCCATGAGCAGAGCCACATAACACAAGAGCCAGCCTGGCTCTCTGAACGGCCCTTGTTCAACACGGCTTGGTGACACAGCTGTGCCAAACTCCACAATGTGCACCCTTGTTAAGTTAATGGCTCAAGTGACACAGGAGACTCTTCCCCTCCACCATCTTGGCTCTGCACTTCTCCCTGGTGTGCTGTTGAGGAAAATGAACTCATAGTACACTTCCCCCCAAAAGGAGAGGCTTTATCCAGTCGGTAGAATGTAATGGAACAACTGGGACCTGCTGCTTCAATGATGACTTTTATGACTTGGCAGAGGATCACATCTTTCACTGCCTTGTACACCTTGTCTATTTAACCCTTTTCTCAAGAAACACAAAATYTGCAGCAATCTGAAGTCCCAGCCAAGGCAACACGGCTCTGTAGAAGGAAGTGCACTCTACCAGGAGTTACTACCCCAAAATAATTTGTTGCTAATTGTATCATCACACATTTTGAGACTTCAGCTGATGATCCAGAAAACTAGCCACTTTCACCTTCACTGTCCACGAGCAAGTCCAGTAGATGGCAATCCATGTGAACAGACATCTTTTTCTATTGAACTACTGCTGGTGTCTTCCACAGCCCTTGATTGCATAATTTTAGTGGTCACAATTAACTACACTATTTATTTAAAGGAAGGAAGTTAAGGGATGTCTCCACAACAGCTATCGCCAGTGGCAAAGCACATGATAAAGTCTTATTTCATCAAGAATGAGAAAATAAACTAGAAATACAGTGAAATTGGTATGATCTCTCAGAACTTTCACAAATTATGGAAGAAAGAKCTCCCTCTTCTCTACCTCCCAAGAGCTATCCAAGAGGTCTATACAGCTAAACTCAAATTACATGGGTTTTTTTTCCCCCAAGTCTTGAGAGACAGAGATTTATTTTTCATCTCCATTCTACCCATCACAAGCTTCCTACCTACACAATTATATCATTTTCCTATCCCCTGCCCAGAACAGAAATAGGAAGGCTGGTTTCTTATCTCGCTCCCCCCCCCCAATTAAGATTTGAGGCATCAAGGGAAGCCTTCACATTTAGCTACAGCACTACAGAACTCACTGCATGGCARGCACTCTAGAAGGAGAGCATGCAACAAGTCTGCTATATATAGCAGCATCAACCATAGAAACAAATGCAATTTTTCTTGCGGGATTAAAAGCACGAACAGAGCAAGCTTTTGGTGCATCACACCATATAGATGGCACTGAAGTCAACATATCCAACAAACAGGTGACTGGATCTTTAATTTCCATAAAGAATAGGAAAAATCCTACAGCACTTTGGAAGTAGCTAGAAGCTTGAGTTTGGTGCACTAATTCGAAGACTGACTGAAAGACAACTGGAATGACAACTGCAATTAAGGATGTCATGCTAATTAGAGAACTGTTATTCAGAGTTGCACAAGAACAACAACTGCAAAAATATTCAAACACCACAAGAAGGACAGCAAGACCATGAATTATTGCCCAACTTCAGATAACTAAGTGGGAAATCATCTGTGCTCCCTCCGCAGACCCAGAACACCTTGAGAGCAGTTTCTTCTAACATTTATCTCCACTGGCTCTGGAAGGAACTAAAGCCATCACTGATTTGAGTGTTATGACATGGATACCAGAATACCTAAACCACACAAACCAAACATGCTAGGAAACTTCTTTTAAAATTTTTTTTTACCCAAGTGACTCTGTTAGATCCAAATGACTACATACTCACATTTAAACTAAAGCCAGCACATACATCACACTGCAGTCCAGCTTTCTGAGTGGGCAAGGAAAATTCTGTTGAGAGCACACATTTTCATCCTACCTTTCAAATATTTACAGCGCTCCTACACACACTTATCCAAAGTGTTTTTAAGAGTATTTCTTATCAGGTTATAATATGACTTAACCGCTTTAAGAAGCCATGAGGGTGTGTGCTCCAGTTCAAATGAAAAAAGCCTTTGCTCCTTTTTAAGACTTCGCAAATAGAATTACAGATTAGCTTTGATATCCCCAAGATATCCATCTTAACAACACTCAAAGGCGACAAAGCAACTGCACGCCCTTTGTGAGATCTGCCACCAAACAACACCAAATAGCCACAAACAAGCAGAATCCAGGAGCCTCAAACAGCTTTAAGTGTTTGTTTTACTAAACTATCCAGGAATTCTAATCCAGATCTRTCACCTGTGTTCCATGGGGTACAAAATTGACCTGTTTGAGACGTGCATTGGCTACCAGGCAGTGAAACCACTCTCCACAAAGGTCACGGCTTCAGCGTAAGAGCAATCAATCCTCTGTCACCACCAAATCATCAGCTTTTTGCCAACTGTCCCATCACAAAAACGCACAACAGAATATGAAGAAACTCCATGCCCACATTATTAATGCCTTGGTTCCAGCCATGAAAAGAGAATCCACTACAGATTGCATCGAGAGCCTAATCCCCCAATCCCCCAATTCTCCCTCTTGTAAGAAGCTGGCAGAAGAGTGTGTTTTCCTCAATAAAATCACAAAGAGATGGAAATTCCTACCTCGACCTTGGAGTCAAGTGATGTTGATGCCTGTCTGCAGCTACACCTGGCTTTCCCTATCACTGTCAATGACCRCTTTGATTTAAGATCTTCATAAGGCAGCAAGAGATAACTCCAAGAACAACCAGTCTCGCTAATTAGAAGCTCACGGGTATAGTTTTTTTAAATAACAAGGGTCGAAAAGATACCAGAGCTGTCTGCAGACGCATGGAAACAACAACAGGCTTGTAACAGGTGAAGTGTCCGTTTTCACCATGAAAAATCAGGGCTGAGAGGGCATTKAGGAAATCTAGCAGGTTACACAGTAGCAGAGCAAGATTAACAACTCTGGAGGTTTTTTTCCCCTCAATATGGATACTCCTTGTAATTCCAAGACTAAAAGCTCRGAAGCCTAAAACCACAGCAGTCAAATAAATCAAATTGAAGGTAAGCACAAACAAGGAACCAAATAAACAACTGAATCAAGTCAAATGTATAARAAGCAAAATCTAGTGTCAAGAAATCAGTTCACTGCAAGGGCAGAGATCCTGGCACTGTGCCACAAAGCCGTCAATCTGGAGGCTATGTGGACACAAATTCTACCTTTTGTAACATTGGAACATCCTGGAAGACGCACACGAATTACAGTTCTCTTTTGTTTTTAAGCGTGTCCCACCTTACTGCCCTCTCGAGTATTTTCATTTTATGAAGTTACTGTGTTTCAGAACAGTCTATTTTTCATCCTTTCGCAGCTTGAGCCTTAAAGACAGCCTCCTGCCCATAAAGGGGTGGTGAACAGTCATGGAATCAAAGAATTTTGAGGGATTGGAATGGACTCTAAAGCCCATCTAGTCCCAAGCCGCCAGACAGGGGCAGGGATGCTCTACTCACTAGAGCAGCTTTCTCAGGGCCCCGTCCAGCCTCGCCCGGAACACTTCCAGGGACGGGACATCCACGAACTCCCTGGACAACCTGTGTCAGGACCTCATCATTCTCACAGCAAAGAATTTCTTCCCAGTATGACATCTAAACCTGCTCGTCTTCAGTTTAAAGCCGTTCCCACCTTGTCTTATCACTCCATGCCCCTGTCAAAATCTCCTTCCAGTCTTCTTGAGTTACAGGAAGACACTCTAAGGTCTCTCTTATTGCGGGTGGCAATCAGATCACTTTACTTCATTTTTTAAGAGTCAACTCCCCTGGGCAACCTGTTTCAGCGCCTCACCACCTGCACAGTAAGGAATTTCTACCTAACACCTAACCTGTCTAACCAAAACTTGCCCCTCTTTCCGTCTGCACCGATCTAAGCCATCCTGACGGGCATCTGAGCGCCGGACCGGCCGCGGATGCTGCGGGGATCGGGGCACTCGCACCCGGCAGGGGCGGCGCTCGGGGCCGGCGCTTCCCGCCGGGGCGGAGCGGCAGCGCTGCCCGTGCCTCGTTCATTCCCTCATTCATTCCCGGCCGCGCATCCCGCGGCGGAGCGGGCAAGGGACGGGAGAGCGGCAGCGCAGRGCGCGCTCCGCAGGTGCCTCCGCCGGCGGCCACCGCTCCGCCTGCATSTCCGCCCGCATCCCCGTCTCCATCCCCCCTCCACGGATGCTCTCCGGCCCTCTCTCCGCTGCCCACCTGCCCAGCAGCTGCTCGTGCTCGGCGCGCAGCTTGCCCAGCTCGATCTGCAGCTTGGCGCGCTCCCGCGCCGTGTCGTCCAGCGCCCGCCGCGCGTCCGCCAGCTCCGCCTCGTAGATCGCCTTGAGCCCGGTGACCTCGCGGCCCCGCACCTCCTCCCGCTGGGTCACCTGCAGCTGCAGCGCGCTGTTCTCCGTCTCCAAGCTCCGCACCTTGTCGATGTACACGGCCAGCCGGTCGTTCAGCTGCCGCAGCTCCTCCTTCTCCTGCAGGCGGGAGATGCGCGTCGGGCTCTGCGGCATCGCGGCGGCTAGGCCGCGGGTCCGCGGCGCGGGGTCTGCCATGGAGCACGGGCGGGGAAGACACCGGCGGGGCGGAGACCGGGCGGGGACCGACGGACGGGCGGACGGACGCACGGACCAACCGCCGCCTCCTCCTCCTCCGCCGGCTCCGCACCGATCCAATATGGCCGCACGCCCGCCCCGCCGCGCCGGACCGCGCTCGCGGCCCTGCCGCCCACGTGACCACTCGCCAGCCAATCGCGAGCCGCTTTCTGCCGCGGGCTAAATTCAAAACCCGCCAACGGCCRGCGGGCGCGCCACGGAGACCACGCCCCCCTGGGACACGCCCACGCCCCGCGCGCGTTCCCGCCCCTCATTCCCTCCCCTCGCTCCCGCCCACGGCCCCGGACAAAGGGACCCGAAGCCCGCGTCCCCTCTCGCTGCCGCGCCCTGGGGTTCCCGCAGGGTCTCCCCACAGTGCCCCTCGCTTGGCTGCGCCGTCGGGGGGAGATGCGCTCGGCTGGCGGTGTGGCTATAAATTACAGAATCGCGGAATAAATCAGGCTGGGATGGTCGCTCCCAACCTATGACCGGACACCATCCTGTCAACAACACCGTGGCACTAAACGCCGCGTTCAGGCTTTCCTTAAGTACCGCCAGGGATGGTGACTCCAGCACYTCCCTGGACAGCCCATTCCAATGCCTCACCACCCTTTCCTATGAAGAAAYTCCTCCTGGWGTCCAACCTAACCCCMCCGGTACAGCTTCAGGCCATTTCCTCTTGCCCTTGTGCCCTGAAAGCAGAGCCCGAACCKCGGCCCCAGCTCCACACCTTSCCCCACCCCCGGCYGTCCCCTCTTGTCAGGGAGTTGTGCAGAACCACAAGGTCCCCCCTGAGCCTCYTTTGCTCCAGGCTGAGCCCCTTTCCCAGCTCCMTCAGCCACTCCTGGGGCTCCAGACCCTTCCCCAGCTCAGTTCCCTTCCCTGGACGCGCTCCAGCCCCTCAATTTCGTGTCGTGAGGAGCCCAGAACCGGACACAGCCGGTGCGGCCTCAGCAGTGCCCAGCACAGGGACGGTCACTGCCCTGCTCCTGCTGCCACCCCATGGCTGGGACAGTCCAGGGGCCATCGGCCGTCTGGGCCACCTGGGCACCCCAGGCTGCCTGGGCACCACGTTCAGCCATGCATGTTCAGCTGCAGCTATAAATCCCTCAAAAATAAGAGATTTTGCTGTGCCAGATGTTTCTTATTCTGAATTTACTCCTCCCTCTCTTGCAGGCTGCTCTCTGTGTCGCTGTGTGGACAGTGTCGGCTCCTGGCTCTGCCTGAGTGCCCCGGTGTGGGGCTGCTTTGATGGTGTTTGATATACAGGGATCTCCCAGGTCAGCAGCTATAGGATGAGAGGAYAGCCTTAAGATGCACCAGGGGAGATTCAGGTGGGACATTAGGAGGACTTGTTTTTACAGAAAAGGTTGGAAAGGGAGGTGATGAAGTCACTGGCACTGGAGGTGCATAAGGAAAGACTGGAAGTGGCACTCAGTGCCATGRTCTGGGTGACAAAGTGGTGTTCGGTCATATGCTGGACTCGATGAGCTCAGAGCTCGTTTCTAACCTGGTTCCATCATTCTCTCAGTTTGCTCATTTCAGCACTCTGAGCGCTATTCCTCAGGTTGAGTCAGCCCCACTTTGGAGTCTGCATTTTCATATTCCTTGTTTGATGTCAGTCTGGCTCCTGAAGTTTGCTGCTAGTGAGAAGCGCTCACTTTCACGCTGAAAATTAATTCTTCAGGAAAAACAGGAATCCTTTTGCAAATTCCCACTGTTAGATGACAGCCACTCAAAGGGGAAAAAAAATCTCTTCCAATCACAGGGATGTATTTAACTAAAGTAATTTAGTCATAGTGGGGAGCTCCTACTTTTCCCACGTGATGCCTTTGTTGATACAAACCATTATCTGTTTTTTCCTTCATTGCCAGTTATTAGAATTTGCTTCTTTCCAGCCCCTTTGGAAMAACAGAAAAGCTGGGTAACAAGAGTAATAGCAGCTGGGAAAAAAATTCTACAGCACCTGCTGGAACATAAAATTGTCAGCGCAGCAGGATTATAACCCAGGGTAGTTTTACACTGCAGCTGGCACTAGTGTGAAAGGATCTGTGTTCACGGGCTGTACAAGAGACAAAGTTTGGGAGGTTTTATTGGTGGACAAACTGAGCTCTCTCCAGGTGTTTAGTGCTGGCTTTGATTCTGTCTGCTTCCAGAATTTAGTTTAGTGCTTGGTTTTAAATCAMGAGTTTTCATTTAATAATAAAAAAGTGTCTTATTATCCCTTCCCCAACCCCTGCTATTTGTCTTGCAGTTGGTGYGCCTGCAGCAAAGTACTTTTCTCTCCTGACAGAGGAATGGGTGTGATGTGCTCCATTTCACCTCCCAAATTTAAAGAATGTGTTTAAAATTGAAGCTGTTGGTAAGGACGCCTTCCTTTCCCCCTCAGAAGCYTCAAGATTTAACTTTTCTTTTATTAAAAACATTGCTTTCCAGTCTACCACATGAGATTAAACTAAATGATGCTTAGCAGACAGGGTTGGCTAATGCTATAAAAATTAAATGGAAACAAATATTGTAGTAGAAGCAGCTGGCCAGATCAATCTGCTTATTGTAATTACCTAGTGAAAAAACTAAATGTTGATCTTGCCAATTCCATGCTTGTTTTTCAGTCTGCATTTTCAGGTTGCTGCTTCCATCTAATTATTAAAAAAAAATAGGTTGATGTAACATTGCCTATACACATTAAAAATTATAATAGTTGAATCTATTAATATCTCATTGTTAAAAAAATATGAAGTTTAGTTAGTTTCAAAAGCAAGACCTGCTTCCATAAAGAAACAAGTTAATTTTCAGTTATCTTTGCTGCTGCCAGATTTCCCCGCCTTTTGCTTGCATTTGAGATTTGTTTCTGGGGCTTATGTGGCTGAATTCTTCCTGCTGGATTAGGCYGAAAAAGGAAGTGAGTAAAATATGGGTCTTCAAACTGTGCCTGGCCTGATGTCAGGCTAAYGAAACTGAATATCAGCATTGTTCCTCTTTACTCAGGGCAGCTCTGGCCTGATGCTGGGCATGCATGGGATGAACATCCCGTGTCCAGAAGAGCCTGAGAGTGCCAGGGCTCGAACTACCAGAAATCCAATGCTTAGATGGTCACAATGACTGAAGATCTGGAGTAATTTCTTCCCCTCCGAAACCCAAACCAAAATAAAAGGAATGTGATGTTTACCCATGTGACTCAGCCCTGAATCTGACACACCTCTGAAATGCATCACAACTACTTTTCACATGGCTTCAAAATGCCACCGCAGCAAGGATTTATTAATTTTAATTTTAATTTACTAATTTTGCAGTCAGAGTGAATTGTATATATGGGGCATGTACACAATTTACAGAGTCAGCAGACTATACCTCTTGGACTCACCTCTTCTAAATGTTCAAAGTGTTTCAATACCTGAGATATTTTTTTAACAAAAGCCTTCTATCAGGCACCATTTAAAAGTGAAAGTTTTCCATGTATGCTGATTTAAGTAAAATTCTAGAGTCTGGAAAAATCTGTGTGAAATTTGCATTGATCCTGTAATTCTTAGTAAGTGAGCAGTTTTTGCTGTTGCCAGTTTTGTATTGCTAAAATAGATTTTATATATACATACAATAATTTGTATTTATACCATATTGGCTTTTAGAGTGGGTGAGAATCACAGTGAATACATTCTGCTAATGTGTCCATAGTCTAAGGGTTACCTCAGTGATTTAAATATTATTCTCCAAAATTAGAAATGGACAAATATTTAACTTTACATTACCTTTCCTGAGTATTTATGAGAAAATATTGTCTGTTTGCTTCCACCTGGGGAATGTTTGCTGAAGAAGAGTCAAAAAGAGTACATGCTTCAGTCTGTGCTTTTAATAGACAAAATAAAACAAACAAACAAACAAACAAAAAGAATAGAAATGTTTTTTCTGTAACCTTCATGGCAGGAGGAGAGAGCACGGGTTGTCTGCAGCTGTTTAGAAAGAGCAAAATCTGGAGGCTCCTCACAGGAGCAGATGGGGTAATAGTAATACTCCTCCCTGTTTTTTGGCTTCAATAACCTGAAAATTATAACTGTGAGTGCTGCATGGTTCATGTGCTTCTGACTGCTGCTCTGTATAGCAAGAACTTAAGTATACTACACTGCACTTCATAAGTTCCCTCATGCAGAACYTGAAGCCTTTCCTAAAACAATCTAAAATTTTAATTTAGCACTGTGTCTTAAGAGGATTCAAACAGAGCCATCAATATTGTTTGAGATAAGTGAGCATAAAAATGAAAATTAAAAAATGAAATTTAAAATTTAAAAAATCAGCAATTTTTTTTTTGTTTAAGGTACAACGGAAACACTGTTTTTCATTTCTGCTGAATCTTTCACACTGAAAACTTTCTTCAAAAACTATGCTCAGCGTTCTGAGGGGCCTCTTTCTTCAGGAGAAGCCTCAATAGGATGAATAAGCACAGTTTGGACTTGGACACGTAGTGTGTGCCCGTGACAACTGCAAGATCGAGGCAGGGGAAGCAGAGCAGGAACAGCAGAATCAAAGAGAACCATCRCAAGAACTGCACTGCACTGGTTTTTGTCATCTAAACCACCACTCTTCAGTGTGTGTTTGAAGGAATGCAAACATGGGGTGGGCGTTGGGTTTTGGCTGAGAACAGCCCAGAAAATTTCTACCCACACTGCTGAGCTACCCACGGGGGAGATGCAGTGATATGGCTGTTGGCTGTGGTTGAAATCACACCCCACAGTGATTGCAAAACCCCAAAAGAGAGAGAGAGAAGCTGGGGAAGGTAAAGGAGAAGTAGGAACTCACAATTACACAATTCCACATGAAGGTCTGATTAAGCTCACTTTAACAAAGACTGCAAAACTGGAAAAGTTGCATTTCTGCAGAACGGGCTACRAAACAAACTATAAATACAGGATCTCTTTGCTGAAGGACTCAGTTGTTAGCATAGGTGGCTTATGCTTAAACWCAAGTAGTAATTTTTGGTTAAAAAAGTTTTTGCCATGAAGTTACAGAGGTATTAACCTTAGTAGTACATGAGASCGCTTTGTTCTAGCTGGTAACAGGACAACTTTAATTCACTTTGTAAGTGAATTAAATGCATTCTTAGAGAATACATCAATTATTGCCAGCTTCTGAGATTTTGTAATTAGTTTTRTGAAACTGTCGGCTTTGTTTCCAAAGGCTAATTATATGAATTTGTCATATTAATCACAACTCCAAGTCTCAGTTAACAGATCTTTGTCCCCTTACAGGCAGGGGAAAAGAAAGCAAACCTGTTGTGTGAGTCAGTGCAAAATTAAACACCTTAAAGAAAATTAAACACTTGCCCTAAGTCTAATCTGGCATGTGACAGGTAACAGCAGGCATGGTAAGTTTCCCAGATTCTCTGAGTTAAGGTGAGTGCTTGTGTAGCTGATGTGTTCCAGTCCTCTGGACAAGTACAGCACAGAATTTCAGAAAATGAGTCTTTAATAGCCTGTTTGTCTCTCACATACAGTGCTCTCTTGCCAGTCAGAGATCATCTCTTCTGTTTTTATAGACATCTGGAAAGCTGGGGGCTTTGAAAGGTTTAACTTCCAGAGCTGCTCCTCTAAAAAATAATTTAATGCTTTTTCTGGGGTGAAAGTGTCTCACTTTCACTTTCCCACATCTGGCAGATTGTCATTATCTACTGTTTTATAATTATTCAGCACAACCATTGGTATTGTGTTTGTACCCCMAAAAAATAGCAGTTGGGGAGGAAAGCAAACTTCTCCAGTAGGTCTTGGACTGGATGGCTATGGGGTGGGTCCAGAGGGTTTGGGGAAACCCCAAATTTCACACAGACAYCTCCCCCACCCCTCTGCCTGCACGGGACTGCTGGACAGGGGGTTGGCCCTCTCCTCTCTCTGCTGCAGTGTCACCTCTGTCACCYCCATGGAGGGACTTACACCCACCGCAGTGGAAAAGGGGCAGGGCTGTCCCCGGAGGGTAGGGTTCCTACTGTCCCTGAGCAGGGAACACTGGTGTCCCAGCAGAGTTCCAATCCTCCTGCTCGCCAGCGAGACAGAGTGCCCTGTGTCCATGAGCCCAGCCCTGCCTCCTTCCCAAGCCCAGGTGCACCTGAAGCCACCTGAAGGCAGCACAGAGGGATGGGAAGGGCAGCCGAGGACAAGGCTRCTCTCCAGGGACAGCACCACCCTCACCTGTGGCCCCTCCAGATTCCATAAATTGTGAACTGCAGCCWAGAAATCTTGGAGCACACCAACACAGCGTCAGCAGTGGAGAGCCTGGTTGCCCTGCCTGTTAYACTGGCTCTCGAGTGCCCCTGGAAACTCGTCCACAGCGTGCTGATCTTTGTGGAACCACATAAAAGGTGGCCCTAACAGCCCCGAGGGCTTCTTCCCCACAGGCAGAGGAATCCTGAGACTCTCTGGACGCTAGATCCGAGGAATGCTGCAGGACATGCCCTTGTCAGGGACACCCTCAGTGTGTGGGAGAAGCAGTCCCAGACTCTGGAGAAGGATCCCTCTCGGGCAGCCCGGCTCCCGTCCCTCCCGAGCCCAGGGGGTCGCCCCGGGCAGGGCCTCAGCCTCCTCCTGCTGCTTCTGCCCTCAGAGCCGGGCTCRGCGGCCACCTCGCCCACTGTCACCCCCGGGGACAGCCCGTGTTCGCTGGGCTGGAAGCCGGGACGAGGGCAGGGCGTGGGAGCCGCCGGGAGCGCGCTTGGAGCGGGGAATCACGGAGCGCTGTGCCCAGGGCTGCCCTGGGGCACCTGAGGCACCGGCTGAGGAGAAGCTGACTCCCATCTCCACGGGTGAGTGCGGAGCGAGGCCTGAGGACAGCCAGGAGGGGCTCTGCAGATGCAGGGATTGATCTCGGCTCTGTTTCTTTGGGCCCTGAAGGTGGAYGTCGATGGCACCGTGTCTATCTTGGCAGCTCAGATGCCGTGATCCTGCGGAGCCTGAGGAAGCAGTGGAGGAAAGGATGCTCCCTGCAAGGGCTGTTCTGCCACTGAGCAAGGGGCTGGTAGGGTGTGAGCTTCAGACAAGGTTTCACAGACCCACAGAATGCTCCGATTTGGAAGGGACCTGGAAGGATCATMCGAGTCCAGGCRATGGSRCATACAGGATTCAAGCCACARCCTTGGCATTATAAGCACCAGGAGACCCTCCTGCTGTACCACGAGTGGCAGAAAGGATCCCCAGGCTTTCTGAAGTCCTTCTCAGACAGGAGATTCCCACCCCAGCCTCAGGGCTGGTCAGCAGTTCTTGTCTAAGGGATCACGCAGGTTTCATTGAGTTAATCACAGGATTAAGGCTGGCAAACTAACTCTGTTTACAGAAATAAAGCAAATTATTTATTTTACAGCCCAAAAAGCCAAATGTGTCCTGGGCTGAGCTCCACATGGGCAGCAGGGAAGGGGGGATTCTGCCCCTCTGYCCCACTCAGGTGAGACCCCACCTGCAGAACTCCCCCAGCCCTGGGGCCAGCGCAGGAGGGACCTGGAGCTGCTGGAATTAGGATGGGGTAGGGTGGTTTCTCAGACCTTCAGTGGAAGCACTCAAACCTGAGAGTATGGACAGTCTGTCTGCTCCTGCAGGAGTTGCTGTGGGTGACGGTGCAAATATAAACACCCAGCAGATTTCAGGTGCAGACCTGCCCTTATATTTAGTTTTATACCAATAGCGTCTTTTATGTGGCTGGAAAGATAAGGAGTGTTAGAGTTTGTTCTAAGGGTGTTGCAGGCATTGGAAACACCAGTTTTAATACTTTGAGGACACAGAGGTGTATAAAGGCCTTATTACTACCTTGTCAGCAAGGTAGTRATTATGATTTAAAAGTTTGGCATCTTGGTTGTAGAATTATTCTTTAAAAATCAYATTCATGAAAAAGCCTTGTGCAAATTGTGCTGTTTCAGAGTTAGGAAATGATGTCAAGGGATTTCTCTAGAACACTGAGATAAGGAAAATATGATATATAAAAGATAAGCCACAAAACAATTTCAGTGCAATAAAGGCTAGTCTTCCTCCTAAGCGCAGAAGAAAACTTGATTTCTTAGCTRTGTAATACTATCTTACAGTATCCCTCTGGTGGAAATTCAGTGTTTTTAATGACTTTTCTGAAGATTCAGAATAAGGGAGACTTGCTCAGACTCCTCAAGCTGTTAGCTGAAACCTCTTCCATTTTTAAGTGTTGCTTTAGCTGTATCTGTCAAACTGTCCTCGATCTTGCTTGGCAGAGGAAAAAACCAACGATTTCAAAACTGTTATAGCAGTGTCTTTTCATAGCCCACCTATTTGTGGTCCTAAGTCAAAAGGGGTTATGGGTCCCCAGAAAACCGTACAAGAACTCAAGTAGTCTTTTTAGGAAAAAAAAAAAAAAATCTTTGAGAACAAATACAAGGATTCGCCAAAACTGGAGAAGGAAGTTTCAACATGTATTTCATTATAAGGTTCTAGCTCTGGGAATTATTTCTTGTAACTACAAGTATAGGAGAATTTCAGTTCTGCAAGTTTAAGAAGGTTTACAATTTTTTTGAAAAATTATTTTTAGTTTTATTTTTTTTTCCTGAAATTAACTGTTTTTTAACTGTGGCTCTATTTTATTTTGACATTTTTTTTCCTGAAATTAACTGTTTTTTAACTGTGGCTCTATTTTATTTTGACATGCTGCTTCTTACTTCTTGAGGAAAATGCACCTTATGGCAGGTTCTTACCTTTTAAATTACCAGTAACAACATTATAACATCTTTGCACAGATATTGTGTGACAAAYTTATACCAGGGTGTGGAGTTTTATTGTACAGATCCTGAGTACTCCAGCAAGACTGATCTCACCTTATAATTTTTATTAATAACTGCCTTTAACAGAATAGTTTTGCTCATGGTATAACACTTCTTGAAGTTTCTCTACATCCGTTATAAATGGTGCAAGAACATCCTAAAGTTAACTACAAGAAATAAAAAGTTGCTTCTTTCTGCTTGGCTTTAGTGACTAAAGGGAGGTTGTGTGTTTGCCTCTAGTGTCCTTCAAGAAAATTCCCTGAGAAATGAGCTTACTGCCCCACCATGAAATAAGGAATTAAGGTGAGATAAACSAAGGTCCAGCTATATAAAATCTGATCTTTCAGCTTGGGGATCTCTCCTGCGGTGGAGATGGGAGGGTAAAACTTTACCAGTCCCCTCAGTGCTAAATTAACAAAGCACTGACTAAAGATAGGATTATTTGTTCTGTAATGAGAATCCTTTTGTTTATGGAGGTTTTGAGGTTTGTTTTTTTTTAATCTGCAACTGTTTTCAATGAGCCTTATAAGTATACTTGTAGATTCATGCTCCTGTATTTTTTTTTTTCCCTGTCAGATAAGGGTCCAAATAGAAGTCTTTCAGGGTCTGTGAGTGTTTTGTGGGGAATTCGGACTTTAGCTGTCACCAAAGTGACACTGTTTGCATTAATTTCCCCAAATCAGCTTCATGTTTGCACTGTGTATACTGAGTGCACGTGGTCATTACAGTGCTCCTTTCTTTAACTACTACAAACTACATTTAAAATCATGTTACCTTTAGAAATTTCCCTAAGCAGGATGAGCAGAGAATTAGTATTGTAAAGTCACACCTCCAGAAGTATCAGGTCTTCTGCTCATTTTCTMCAGGGTCATATTTCTACTTGCATCATGATAAAACTATTTTACAATAATAAATGAAATAATTTTACAGTGATCATTGGCTGCCTTGCAAACGAAGAATTTTTGGAATCCTAAAGCTTAGTTCCTCATGGTTTAAGAGATTTAGGTATTAATTCCAAATGGCATCTCACAAAGGGCCAAATTCCATCCAGGGATAAATGACTGCTCATCCATGCCAACTTTAATGTGATCTGCTCTGCTCAGCAGAGGACAGAATTTCACAGAAGCCTTTTACTTCATTCTGTGCCCATTTGCAAAAATGAATACTTTGTGCTTCTCTTGAGCATTGTTGAAATGGCAAACAATGTTAAATGCTTCTAAGGGTATGGGAAAAGAACTTGAACTAATATTCTTACTGATAAAAAAACATTTTGGAATTAGCAGACAGAAATCTTATCTCATGAATGAAAGGTGCTCTGCCTTGTAGCCTAYGAGTGGGAAAAACAACTTTGATAGCAAAGCTTTTTAAAGGATAAAACACTTCCTTGTAGGTTCTTATAAGGARAGTAGTGTAATGCAAATAAGGTAATAGCTAAGATATTGATGTGCTGTCKACAAAAGAAAACTCCTATTCTTTCTTGAACTCTAAGCATCTGCTTATCATCTTCCAGACTTCTCRAAGGCTCAAATAGTAGTCTGCTGGTTCCAAAAGTTTAAAGGCATTGAATGAATGATTATTTCAGGCYTTATGCCAAAAATTGCTTGAACATCTTGCAGAGATGACTTAGTTCTGAAAATATGCATGCACATAGGCAATAGTGGACCTGCAAGATATCCTCTCCAGAGTTCTGGGCTAGAGACCTAAAGCAACAAAACCTGTTTCTTCCTCCCCTGCCTTTCCTTTCAGGGTGTAGCTAATTTTTCTTGCCTGTGATTTCCCCTAAATATGCCCTGGCAAAATGCCACTTCCTCTTGTGTGTACCAATATGAAAAAATATTATGCTGGAGAAATACGATGTACAGAAACAACTAAGAAAGAATAAGGAAGTAATTTATTTTTTATTCATGCTTCACTTTGAATATGATAAAATTCATGCTTCACTTTGAATCAACTGCCAAGTCCAAGTAGAAAAGGACTATACTACCCAAAGATACCTGAAAAGTCTAATTCATACTTACCTTCATTGATCAATTGATTTATTTACTGTAAGTCTTTGAACTTGAAAGCWGCATTTGCATTGTTTAGGACATAAAAGTCATTATTCCTTCCTCCTTCCCTGGTAATTTTTACAAAATTACCTGACTGAGTTTTAAAGGTGAAAATTACAGTTTTACAAACATCATAAAGCTGCCTTCAAAGGAGTGGCTCAGAAACACAAAGCAATGCTAGCGTGTTATCTTTGATATTATCATTATTCTTAAAAGTAAATACTGTTGGTGCCAGATAAGCACATTCAACCTGCACAAATAACCCCACAGCCAGCTCCTGAGAAGAAGCTATTTTCATGCCTGTCCTTCTCTTGGAAATGCTTGGGGCAGGAGCGACACTTAGAGGAGGGGAGAGATGACACACTTTGCCAGCATTTCTTAAAATTAGTCTTGGATATAAATATATATATGTATAATTTTCCTGCCCATGCTGAGGCAAGGATATGGTCGGTGCTTCTATCTGGATTTCAGTGAGCCCCCAGGATCACTTTGGATGAGGGGCTTGCTGAGTTTGGCTCCAGGTCCTGCTGATAACACCTCCCTAACTTCTCAGACRTCAGACTGCTATTTCCTCTATTTACTCCTCCTCTGGGGAAGCTTGTCCRCGCAGTGCACACCAGATCCAGGTTTCCTTCTGGCTGCCTCACATTCCTGATTCACAGACATTATCCAGCACCTGCAGAKGATTTCCTTCATGGATGCAACTGCTCAATTTGGTCCCATTCCGACATCTTTGAAGCACCAGTCACTGAACCCAATTCTTTCCTATGTATCTTTCAGTTTAACAAAACCCAGCCGCTTTCTCTCAGGTCTCCTGAATGACCTCTGAAAATTTCCAAATACTCTTAGCTCAGAGACTTATAATGTTTCACCTTTTTTCCCAGCAATGGAGAGTAAACTCACTCCTAGGTGAGGCTGAACTCCACCTCCTGCAAGGTCTAACTCTCCAAAAATACTGTAYAATAAACAGGGTAGAAACCATTGCTCTGATAGTTTTGAAACATTTGGGATATCCTAGCTATCTGCATTCTGCTGGTGAAGTCTGATCATGCTTAGTKACAACTGAGGCAAACGCTTTGCTGTTCTTGTGTGGGGAAGAGAAATTAGGGACAATCACAGTGCTAAATAGCAATATTTTGGAAGGAGTTGTGGYCATGCAGAAATAGCCATGCAAGGAGTAGGTAAATTACAGGTGACGTTTTGTCACCTGTTGCTCTTAAAGCCCTCTTCCCCTCCCCTGAGTAGTGGGGAAATACTTCAAGTAGAATTAATTACTCCTGCCATCAAGAATCAATCACTGGGTTACATTACAATGGAAATGTTTTTTTTTTTTTTTTTTTTTTTTCTACCCAGTGCAAATCAAAGACATTTTAATAAAGGAAAGCTGCGGCACAGCCTTGTTTCCTCCAGTAAAACCAGCTCTGGCCTGCAGTYTATAGATAATTTTAGGCTTTTGAAAGAGGCTCATTAAATCCTACTTGTGTGGTGGTCTCAATTTAGAGGCTAAAAGCTCAATAACATATTGAGCCGTTAACATCTACCTACTTCACCTGTAACTATCAAGGCACAGGACTCTATTTTCAGTCATTTTTAGGAATTTCTGAAACACACTGAAAGTCTGCCTGTTTGAAAATTGCCTGTAATTACATCTTCAGAGAAGCAAATTCTGCTTTAMCCACTTAAACTAATTCCCTAATAAAGTAATTATTTTATTACTTTATTACTTATATCAAGGAATTTCACAGAGGCAGTTTAGCAGCATTATCAGTTCCTGTTCACTGCTGGAAGACTTAAGTTTCCCTGCRTAAAACTGGCAGCTCTTAAAAGCTCCAGAGAGGCCAAAGGAGCATTGTGGAGATTTCTTAGCGCAGTTCTGGGCACAATTTAAGGAGCATACGAACGTGCTTGAATGCATCCAGAGACAGGCAGCTGAGCTGATGAAAGGGGTGGCAGGAATGTYCTACAAGGAGTAGCTGAGGACTTTGGGTTTGTCCTGTTTGGAGGGACAACCTTGTGGCTCTCTGCAGCTTCCTGAGGAGGGGATGTGGAGAGGGAGCTGCAGATCTTGGGATTCAGCTGCAGGATGGGTGGGAATGGTTCCAAGCTGCTTCGGAGGAGGGTTCCTACAGAGATGATGGATACCTCATGCCTGACTGTGCCTTAAAAAGAAGTATTTGGGCAATGAGCTTAATAAAAGGTTTTAACTTTTGTTCCATTCTGGAGTGCTTAGGCAGTTGAACTAGATGATTTTAATTTCCCTTCTACCAGAAACTATTCTATTCTATTCTATTCTATTCTATTCTATTCTATTCTATTCTATTCTATTCTATTCTATTCTATTCTATTCTATTCTATTCTATTCTATTNTATTCTATTCTATTCTATTCTATTCTATTCTATTCTATTCTATTCTATTCTATTCTATTCTATTCTATTCTATTCTATTCTATTCTATTCTATTCCCCACTTTTTTAAGGGCTTGCTGGAGGAACCTGTTGATTTCGCTCTTAGTTATCTCTAGCGCAGGGACTATGGTTTTGTAGATACCATCAGAGTGATATATTACTTACATGAACAGCCTCTTTCATGCCTGCTTTAATCTCATTTGTTTAACTCCCCATGTAACTGCTGAGATGACTCTTAGAATTACTTTATGGCTTGTCTCACATGCACACAGTCCTCCATTCTCTGCAGGGCTGCTGTACAGAGAAAGTTGCAGCAGGTCTACATCTCACTCCCTCTTTTCATTTGTGAAGAGAATAAACAAACCTGCAGCAGAGAGGACGGAAGGGAAAGAGGAAGTAGTGTCCCGAGGGGCCTGGGCCCTTGGCAAATACCTTATCCCATAAATGCTTTCAGACCTATCTACAGGAAACTCCTGGAGGGAGTCACTGCCAGAGCTGGCTGCTGAGCAGTGTTCCTCAGAGCCAAGGCAGGCAGTCAGGGCAGACAGAACCCAGGAAAATATATCTTCAGTTAAGGGAATCCTAAAACCCCTTTTTTTATCTGCTTGCTTGGCATGCTGATCTTTTCATCCACCATTCTTAAAATTGTAGATTATTGCACTTTACAGCTGTGATGCTTGGATGTTCATCTACTCTTCTGGCTAAACTGGGGCATCCAAGCTTGCAAAAGYCTTCTTTCAAGAGGTACTGAGGATCTTCTGGCACAGAAACTCAATGTGAATGCCTCATTGGGGAACATCAGTATAAGGTAAGAAATTAAGCATTTTCCAGAAAACAGTTCAGAGGAACAGCATTAAAAAAAAAACAAAAAAACCAACAAATAAAAGCTGAGAGGAAAAGGTGTTATATTTTCTCAAAGCATGGAAATATTGCATCAGTATTAGTAGCATCTAATGTAAAAAAGGTTTTATCAATCATAGATCTTCATCCACCATGACAAAAATACTTCAGGGAGCAACAACAAGGGTGCAAGATGTATTTTATGTATTTTCCTAAGTAAACATAAATGGATTTTTTTTTAGATTTGAGACTGTTTAGGGRAAAGCAGGAAGATTGGGCTGCTGCGTAGCTCCTGTACATCAACACAGACATTCTGGTTTTCCACCAAAACCTTCAATCTTAAATATTTTAGGTTGTCATATGCTTTACTAAGGAGAGCATGTCAATATTAAGGTGAGTTGGTGGGGTTTTTAAAAATTACTTTTCTTTATAAAGAAAATAGTCCACAAAACAGTGTGGTGCAATTTTGTATTCCATTTAAACATTACAAACTATTCTGTTCCAGAAGAAAAAGCAGCTCATGAATTTTCCACATGGAAAAGCAATCACAGCTGCCCAGCATCTGGAAACAGGGGAATGTGTGAGGAGATCAGCAACCAAAATTTCCCAGGGCGTTTATATTTTTATTTTAGCTCCATGCACAGTCTCTCCTGGTGCTCTAAGAGAATGATATTCCAGAATCTATTTCAGCCAGTTCTGMATGCCTAATAAAGGCATTCCTGTGGCTGAAAATGTTCAATACAAAACTCATCAGTAGTAACTAAACAGCAAATGTAAAATAATTATTGTAAATATCTGTACTGTAAATTGGGGGACAAAAGGAACAGCTGAACACCAATAACCACATGACAGAACAAATGAAAAATTCAGACGACAAACTAAGCAAGTGCAACCTCTGCAGGAAAATGAGAATACCTTKCAAAGGATTATGTTGTAAACAAGAATGCTGATATTCTGAATTACTGATATGTTTTCAGTTAAAACTTCCTTTCTGGGGAAGTTTTCAACATAATAAGCTTTTTAATTTTTTTTTCTGTATGTATTTTTTTAGATACAAAACTGTGGTTTTGCGCTTTTTTTTTTTTTTTTACATAACTGAAAAACAATCTCTCTGCTCAAGCAAAAAAAAAGAAACGAGAACCCTAACAACCTGGAAAGTATCTAGAACAGCTAACTTGTGTGGAGAGTTGTAACTTCAGGTACACATTCCTGATTTTTGCCAGTATTCAGGTMCAGATGTTCATGATCCTGGAAATGTATGAGTAGGCAATATTAAATGTACCACAGTTAAGTGCTCCTCCCACACCTCTGACAAAGTGGCATCTATCAGTATTGYAGATGGAGGGATGAGAAACCTTCAGTTATGTAATTTGTAAATAAAGCTTTGTCTTGCAAGAACTTCCTAGGTCTTAGATAAGATGGGATGCATTAGGTCCCAAATCACCCAGAGGCTGCAGCTGCTGCAAAGGTGGTCGCATGTTTTCCAGCTGCCTGCTGAACCCAAGGTGGCCCAGAAAGATGCAGTCTTTGTCTCTGCCCCATTCCCAAATCCCTTAACTGTGATGCTAAAGCTCTAAGACTGGATATTCCCAGATCCATCGAAGCCCTACAGTGGTTCCGAAAAAGGCTTGGATCTCTGAGRTGCTGCTGATCAGTAAGAATTAGGAGCAGGAGTGGGGCATCAAGTAAGCATGTATTCASTGGAGCCATGAATTCTCCTCTGTACACTGAAATAAACTTTTTCTTTTTTTTAATATCGGCTCTGACAAACCCTTCTGAGTCATAGGATTGCCTAAGTTAAGGGGAAAAATATTGAAGGTTGTCATACTGAAGATTTATGACTGATAAAACCTCAGAATTTTACAACAAACTCAAGAATTGTCTTTATTACTCAGTCTACACCACCTTTACTCTGAGAAAAACAAGGAATTCATCTTCTCTATATCAGGAAATATCATAATTAATAAAATCTCCTTTTCTGATCACCTTTTATACCTTGAGCTGCGTCATTTCCACACTTGCTTGGGAATTTTGGGAAACAGCAGTTAATAAGCCAAAAGGGCCTAAGAACATCTTAATGAGATCATCTTCTTGGAAAGGGAAGGATAATCTGTAAAATTGCAATTGTACTTCAAATGATGCTTTCAAGATCCACTGTAAAACTGAACCAATAATGATTTTTTTCCAGTGGTACCAAGAATCATTTTCTAATTTGAATTCTGGATGTATGGTAGCAAAAGGTCTTTGGTTGTAAACAGGCTTTGTGTTTTTAGACCAAAGCACATTTCCCTCATTTTTTAACCATCTGCTTCAGGCACAGCAGAAGTGGCACATTATGCTGCTACAGTTCATGGGACGGAGGATGATGTTTGTACCAGCAGCCAAGATTCTTTATTTACAGCAAAGATAACGCCTYGAACACACCTGCTCACCAGAGAAACCCAAGAGCACAAACCCCAACCCTTGTGCTTGCATTTTTGTCTGCAGAACATCAGCTACCAAAATTAACCAGACAGMTCTGTTCCCAGACAAAACCCAGCTYACAGTCAACCACAGGGCTGCTCTCTCTGCAAAGGTCAGCCCAGGACAGACTGGAATTCATTAAGTGGGAGCTGAGACAGAAAAACTGTCTCAACTGGCACAAAAACTGACACTGCTAAATACAACCTGTTTGATTTGAGGGAAATTGCTGGTGGAACAGGAGTGATTTGGSTACTCATCATTTTGACCTGGCTTGCTTTTGGACGGACTCTGTTGAAAGCCAGGGAAAATAAAAAAAACACAAGGTAAGTAAAGGATGACCAATTGAGACACTGTGAGGTACCTGAACCACAGAATCTGCTGAGTTGGAAGGGATCATCCAGTCCAGCTCCTGGCCCTGCACAGGCACCCCAAACAATTCCACTCAGTGCAYCCCTGAGAACATTGTCCAAACACTCCCTGAACTCTGTCAGGATTACTGTCATCACCACTTCCCCGGGGAGCCCATCCCAGAACCCAGCCACCCTCTGGGGGAAGAACCTTTCCTGAATCCAACTTCAACCTGAAAACCCTGAATCAGCCTTCAGGCCATTCCCKGGAGCCCTGTCACTGGTCAGAAGATCTCTACCTGCCCCTCCTCTTGCCCTTGTGAGGGTGCTGAAGACTCCACTGAGGTCTCCCCTCAGTTTTCTATTCCCCAGCTGAACAGTCTCCCTCTCCAGACCCCTCCCCATCCCCACTGCCCTCTCCAGCAGCTTCATGTATCACCCTTTTGTTAAAGACAACACTTTACACATCATGTCAGTACCCCTTGCCTGGGAAATCAACGTTAAAAATATTAACATTAGAAAAATACACAGTGCAAATTACATAACGATAAAAAATTATTTAAACCAACATTACAATTTGCTGATTCTATCCAGAAAATGGTTTAGACATATCCCCAAGCAGATCCCAAAACCAGGATCAAATGGTACAGTCCCAAAGCAGTTAAACAGCACAAAACTCTGTTTCACTTACAGGAGTTACCAGTATAYTCTGACCACCAATGGTTAGGAAAATTAATGAAAAAATGACAAATTTCCTTATTTCTGCAAGAGCAACTGTAACTACGACCAGCAGAGGCATGCTGCACATCTGATGAGTAACTTTTTAACAATTAGGASCTCTGACATGAACAGAATATAAGTGGTAAAGTCAAAATTCATATTTAGTAAGGCAGGTAATGGAATGTGCTGCATGAGTAAGAAGTGTTTCTTCAAAAACTGCAATCCTTTAAATGCCACCTCTTGACAGTCATGAATTGCTCAATGTTATAAACTGATTGTGTGCTTTAGTGATACACTTTACTTCTGAAACTCAAGGACTTAAAGGTGAACAAAATTTGTGTGCAAAAGTTGTGTTAAATGGTCAGTCCAAACACAAAAAAAAGCCACAACTTACAAAGTATTTTAGACATCATACGTATCAGTGTTGCACATGTTCATCTATATCAAAAACAACATTCAACATAAAACTAGTTTTCATCTGAACTAACAAACTAGACAACAATCTTCTGCATCAAGTAAAAAAAAAAATCCCCTGGAGGAGTCAGCACAGAATAACTCCTTCTGCAAGATTTTCTGCAAGCTGCACATTATCTCACTGCACACATGAGGAGGACAGAAATAAGAACTTTAAGGTAAAGGGTTTATACCTGCATGTCTACAGGGATAAACCTGTAGTCTACAGACCCTTGAAGGGAACACAGCTCATTACAATCTCACTACTCTCAAAGCTTTTTATGTTTGTCTTCAAACAAAAAGATCCATGGAACTGGGGTCTGTGTCTTATCATGGAAAATGTCTAGACAAATCAGGTAGGAAGCTCAAGTCACCACTAAAATACAAAGGATAAAACTGCTGCAGAAATCTAAAATATGCATTGCTCAATACTGCTTATTTACAAGGTTGTTATTCAAAGGTCGCTGACCACTAAAATTAAGTTTATTTTGCGAGCCAATATGCTTTTACAGGTCTTTATCCTATAAATACTGCTGGTTTTGTCAATACACTGCCACATTGATAATACATGATCTTTACATCAAGACTGAATTTATACTGTTTTTTCTGTTCATCTGTAGTAAAGAGCATTGCTCATTTGATGGCTTTGTGAGCTTCAGCAAATTAAATAAGAAGTATTTGATTAAAACATAGCCTTAACTCCTAAACCTAACATGTGACTAGAAACACTTCCTAAGGRACATAGTGAGGCAGGGCTGTTATCTAGAAAAATCTTAACAGTTTCTCAGGACTCAGCAAACAAGTAACAGGACAATTAGAAGTTCTTTCATGCTGTTAAATTTAGCTAAGAATTACACCCTGTTCTTCAGCATCAAGTATTTCCCRTATTTTGAAAACAAGAAGCCACGGGATTACAAGAAAGGCTCACTTAACATGTTTTCAAGAGACCCTGTTATCAAGAACATTAGTGACTAAAATATCTCCAAATCATGGGCATTATCGATTTCAATGGTATCTTCAGGTTCCATCTTTGCCTCGTGGTGCCCCTCCTGTAGGTCATCCAGGGACGCCAGAGCCTCATTTGTATCACTGGCAAAAGTCTCTCGAGATGCATCATCGTATTCCTGCAGGTTAAGCCCCTTGATGGCCTTTTTCATCTTCTTCCCCAGAACTTGTATCCTCCTCTTCTTGGCAGCTTTTTTGTTTTCATACTCCTTTTGATTTTCCAGATAGAATATTTCCTTTAAAGAAAACAAGAGAATAAAAAATTGCATATTAATTTAATTAGTACTTCCTAAAGAAATTGCAAAAAAAGAATTGTTACAAAAGGTGGCCAATATTTAACTACTTGTAATTGACAACAGAACTATGAGAAAAGACTGCATTTAAGGAAGAGGGGTAGAACAGAAAATTTCTTTTGTAATAGTGTAAAGTGATCAATCTTGTAATCTTTCAAAGTTTTTGTGACCACTGTAAACCATRAAAGGTTGTTGGGGTTTTCTTTTCCAGTTTATTTTTTTTTCAACATAAACAATCAGAATGTACATTGATTTCTTTCTTATTTCCCATTTCCAGACACTAGAAGTGTTTGCAGTGACCTGTAGCCACCTACAAGCAAAATAAAATACTTTTTTTTTTGCAGAAAAGTGCTATTAAAGTAGCAAATGCCACCAAAAAAAAAAAAAAGAAAAAAAAGAAAAGGTTGCGGTTTTTTTACTTTTAACAATCTCAGAGAAATGATGTTTACAAGCTTACAAAACYGAATTAGAGAGCATCACAGAAGAGGCCAGTGGACAATTCAGATTAGGCTCAGATCATGATCTGACTTAATGAGAAATTCTGCCTGGTGCTGCAGCTGGAGCTATATAGGACAGAAATATTCTATTAAGAGAACTGCATTCAATCCATGCACAACAACACAGAGCTCCAAAGGCAGAGACATGACATGGATAACTGCTGTAAGGAATACAWATATATAAATTAAGGAAAATCTAACATTTACCTCTGGCAGACTCTACAATCTCATCTTCCTCAACAGCTGTTTGTGACTGGCAACACATAAAAGTGAGTTCTCTCTGCTTAAGAGTTAATCGCAACTCAAAAATCTTTCATTTTATTGCCCATATTTTGAATGTGAAAGCCTGGCTTCAATGGAATAGAGTTAAATTTGCTAGAAGCTAGAGAGCTTCAATCATGACTTTTCTAGGAGGAAAAAAAAGACCCAAACRGAAATATATGTTTGGACTCTTGATATTTTTACCTTGATTTGCTCTTCTTTGATGCTCGGTGTATTCTTCAGCAAGTTTAAATAAACGCCCCCAGGTGTTCTTCTCCTGGTGCCATTCTTAAAAGGGAGAGAGGAAATTAGGAATAACAAGCTTAATTCTAAGTGTTGACAAAAAAGATAGCTTCTAAGGCAACACTCACTGCTGAGACAGAATAAAACCAATTTAAGTTTGGCTGTGTCAAATATCACATGAAAATAATCCTGGCTATGTCTTATTTTTGACTGGATTAGTAATAAGAAGGTCAATAAGCATGCTACATTTGGGTAGAAGAATAATGAAGAAACAAAAAAAAATCCTTCAGAACRTAATTGCTAAAATTAAAACTAAATCTGATTTTGGTAGTGAAGAAACAAAAATTGAGTAGTACTCTAACTACTCTCACAGCTATCTGCAACATGTTATGCACTAGGTTAAATATTCAGGTAATTCTTAATACATCAGCCCAGTAAAATGTCTAAAATGAATTTAATAAAATGTTGATCTCAATTTTTTTTTTTTAAATTGTGCTYAGACATGCTACAACTTGTCTGTGTTATCTACAGGATTCTGCAATTCTGCTGAAGGCACATGAAACACAACCTGTATTTTAATATTTCTCTTCACCACATATTAGACCCAAGCAGTTTTCAGTGCAGCAGCAGTGATACAGTAATGCTAAAGCATGGAAAGGGCTCAACTTTGAAACCTCTGTAAATTTTAAGTACTAATTATCATACCCAATTGAAATTTTAGTATAAAACACTACTTTTACTCCAGTAAAAACTGGATGGTACTGTACAGAATGTGACACCCCTCTGACAAATAATGTACTACACAATCTAAAAATTTCAAGAACAGAGAAGGTCAGGTTTTAAGTAGGTTCTTGAAACAGCTTTTTTAGCATCTGCTGCTTCATAGAGCCTTTTATGATTCTGCCTTTCAAAGAGTGTCTGATTTGCACCCAAAGCAATCTGTGCCACCAGGAACTGTCCTTTCACTTCCTCTGGAAACACTTATTAACTCACCTTTCACGGCAACAGAGCACGTCTAAAACTACTAGCTAGATGGAATTTGCTGCCTTTTTTGAGGGAGGGAGGTGGTGGTGTTTATATTCTTTTAATTTATTCTGGTTGATTTTCTTGAGATTGTGTTTCTACTTGTTTTTCCCCTCCTCTCTGCTTCCAGATGATGGAGTTTATAAGACGTAAATTGTAATCAAATGAAAGTATTTCCTGGTTCTCACCCACAGCTTTTCTCATCCACTGTGTTTTTTTGCACGGAGGCTCATTGTTTAACAAGAACAAAAACAAAACCACCAAGAAATTGATAAATTGACCATGGAGTATAGGGTTTTTGACCATGATTTGTAACAGAAATCATTACTCAATTTTGCTCTGCTGATACATAAGCCAATGGTTTTCTAACAAAGCCAGCAGTTTTCATTCTGGGAGTTACTCTACAAATGGGGTATGGGAAATGCTGGTTTTTATTCAAGTTTGAGAATCCTTCAGTTTCAAGTCTGTGAGGGAAAGGTCCCAAGGGAAACCTCAGCAACAGACACAGCGTTATCCCTGCAAATCAGACACCAATCTCAGCACAGGAGCCTGGGTGATTTCCAGGTTCATTCCACCTCGCTGCTCAAATCCCTCTGGAAGGTTACATGAGTGTTTATTAAGGGAATTTCATGGCAAGGRAAGGTCATAAAACTCTGAGAGAACACATCCAGCACTGTGTGAATAYTCTACAAGCAAAAAGTTGTGTTGCCCTCCCTGTCCCTGGCAAACCCACAGGATGACGTTTTCCTTACCACGATGAACAGTCCACCATTCTGTTCTACTTCAGCTGTTTCCATGAGCAGCTCGATGGCTTTTCTCTTCCCAATTATTTTCACTACTCGAGCAATTAAGTCTTTCTTTGGCTCACAAAGTCTGGATGGAGGGAAAAAAAAAAGGCACATTTATTGTCAGGGTAATTCCTTGAGTATAACTAACTGTGGAACTTCCACAATGAATAATTCATTTTGTGCTGAAGAGTCTCTGCATTCAAATGTGTTAATGGTTTGTTGAAGCACATTTCAAAATACTGAGCTTCTGAGAGGTATTTTTTTCCCTAGAGCCTGCATTTTTAAACCTTGTTTCAATGAAAATGCCTCAAGTGATTATTTTTCTTCTATTTATGTGTGAAATACCAACCTAAATATGAAACTGCATAAACCTCTGAAATCAAAAGTATAAAAGCTTCTTGTGCATTTAACAATTAAAATTAACTGTTTACAGTTAAATCAGAAACTGGAAAAAATGGGAAGTGTAAAAGTTTCCCTGTATCATGTGCCATTCAGAGAAACGTACATAACAAAAAGAAATCAGTTTGTTGACTGAACTATGATAACCTATAAAAAGCAAACATGAAAAAATAATACACTATAACTAGAACTCTACTGATACAGCTCAATGCCACCACTACTATGAACAATTAGGAAAAAGAGGCCTCTGCCCTATTTCAACAAAACTCTATACAACAAAAAGATATTTATTGCAAGAGATCTGTTCAAAGTTTTCAAAACAATAAATAATAAACTACCCAGAACTGTTAACAGCATTAATAAATGCTTAACTGCTTAGTATTGCCAGATTTTGAAGTAATACCACGTATAAAAAAACAACTATGACCAATAAACCCAGGTTTTATTAAAATGTCAAGCTAACTGATAGTAAACCGAAGTCTTGCTCCCTGTTTAAAGTTATTTTCTTTCCCTGTACCACTGGAAGAGAGTGGCAGTTTGACTCAGTCTAAAACACTGCACTGTCTACTATTATCTACAGTTTCAAAGGTTTAGAACTTAGATTTTCAAGGTGACCACAGCATGTATGCATTTGTGTCTGACTCTARACAAGCACAGGGAATTTCCTAAAAAAAGCCACTACTAAACCTCTATAATGAGAAGCAGTATTTTTTCTTGTCACTGTTCTCAAATAACAAACCATTCTGGTGGATCTTTAAAAATATAAAAATTAAAAGAAACAGAAAGTATTAACTGGATGTTCCTGCAAGACCCCAGCCATCATGATGCATTTTTATCCCAGGATTTTGGGAACACATGAGCCACTTGTAATTTTTGTGATCTGGTGTGACATYTTACAAATTTCGCAGCAGGGAAGCTTTACCCCCTCTTCTTGCCATCATCCACCAATACTTAGTGAAGAAGTACCATCATTAAACTCACCGATAYGCAATTTCATCTGCCACTTTTTCCTCTGAGTCTTCGTCTGTTATCTCATACCGCCCCTTGTATTTCATCTCTTGCCTTTCTCCCAGTCTGTCTCTCACCGGCCGCTTCCGTTTGAGGAAGCTGTGCCCGTTTCCCTCCTCTGCCGGCAAAGCCTTCTTGTCATCGTGCATGTACTCATCGAGCTCTTTGTCTAAAGTCTCTGCCTCCTTCTGCTGGGCTTCCTTCATCAGCCTTTTAGCCAGCAGGTAGTTGTAAGTCTCAGACTGCCTGCTCCTGTCAATAGAACCTTCCATGCCCAGAATCCCAAGCTCAGTGGCCACCGCGTCCTGGTTCTGCTCCTGGAGCACCGCACCCCAGATGTTGTTGACCTTCTTGCCACGCAGGTCAGTCTGTTTTTGGTGGCTCTGGCTGAACTGGAAAGGCTCAGGTTTGGCAGGGAAGGAGTTGAAGCACTTCTGCCTCTTTCGCTTCCACAGGCAGTCATCGTCAGAGTCGGAGCCGCTCTCCTCGCTGGAATCCACGCTCTTGGTGGTCCTGTAGGGAACGCTGGGAGCACAGGATGAGATGCTGCTCTGGAAAGGTCTGCATGAATCACTGCCAGTGTGCGGCTTCTGGGATTAAACAGTAAATTGATGCCCATTAGCTTAAATTATTCATGAAAATTAGAAGAGCTATCAAGTCATTGATCAGCTGAAATAAGTAATTCTGACCCATATGGCTGAGCAGTCCTCCAGACGCATCTCTTGGGCCACAGCTGACAGGAGCTTCCCTTGAAACTCCTGTATTTTGAGTGCATGAAAGACACCATGGCTGACACAGAAAMACAAAGTCAGGAATCACTTTTCTCCTTAAGGCAAACTTTGCTGAGTGAAAATTATTATGAGACTGGAAAAATGGTGAATATTCCCAAAGTGGCCAAAGACACAAGATTGCACAGCAGCTCTAAGAGTGAAATACCAAAACAGCACAGCAACGTACCAGAGGTTTGTTTAACAGCAGAGAAGTTAGCAATCTCTCTGGAGTCTCAATGACAAGACCAAATGACCAAAAATATACCCCAAAACCAAACACACAAAACTGGGATGTTGCTCAGACTTGAGTGCACTGTGACCCTGGCTCAGTCAGGACAGCACATGACCAGCTGGGGACAGCAGGACCTTACAGAACTACCTGTTTTCTCTTTTTTAAATCAATCAGACACCATGGATTAACTACGGCTYATTAATTAAGCACCTCCCCCAAAAAAATCATCCCATTGATATATAAATACTCAAGAAATGCTTTTAGTCAATTCCAGTTATTCCTCAGCTGATTTCTTATCGTAAAGTTATATGCTGTGCCATGATCTTTAAAAATAAGATGTTTCTTCACTTTTAGGTGAAATGAAAATTCTTTCTTTAGCCTTAGTGCTCTTGTCAACATGGGTGTTATTTCTTCTTTCTCCAAATAGTGAACAGAAAAGAGAAGTATTCAACATATGATGTTATGAAACACATACTGAGTGTACTGCAAAAAAACCCCAAACCAGCATAAATAAAAAAAGACCAAACACTTCTGTAAAAACTTACTTATTTTATGCTTCATTTCTCAGAACAAAGATCAAAATAACTGGATAAAAATAAAATTCCTTACACATACAATGTCACACACTGATCTTAGTTTGAAATCTTCCTGCCTGTACACGGCCATGAATACCTCATACTTTCAGTACAAATTCCTTACAAAGTAGCTCGTATCCTCCAAGAATCACAGACTTGTTTGGTTTGGGAGGGCCCCTAAAGCCCATCCCCTGCCACTGGCAGGGACACCTTCCACTACTTCAGGTTGCTCAAGCCCCATCCAACCTGGCGTTGTACATTTCCAGGGATGGGGCAGCCACAGCTTCTCTGGGCAACCCTGCCAGGGCCTCAACACCCYCATARGGAACAATTCCTTCCTAATATCTGATCTAACCCTGCCCTCTGTCCGTTTGAAACCATTCCCTGTCCCTGCAGCCCTTGTCCATTGTCTCTCTCCATCTTTCCTGCAGCTCCTTCAGGCMCTGCAAGGCCACAGTGAGATCACCCAAAGCTTCTCCTCTCCAGACTGAACAATCCCAGCTCTCCCAGCCTTTCCTCCCAGCAGAGCTGCTCCATTCCTCTGACCATCCTGGCGCTTCCTCTGGCCTGGCTCCAGCAGCTCCAGGTCCCTGCAGTGCTGGCCCCACGGGAGGGCTGGGGCAGCTCTGCAGGTGGCRACGGGGGACACAACGGGGAAAGCCSGGGRGACAGCGCTGGCATCTCAATGCGGGCACGGAGAGACGCGGGCGAGCCGCAGGGCTCCGGGGCTGGCAGCGCTCAGGGCTCTCTCCCGTGGTCACAGCGATTCGCCCCCACTGCCGCTCCCTTCCCCGCTGCCGCCACCGTCCCCGTTACCGCTCCCGCCCCCACCGCCCCCATTACCGTCCTCATTACCGCCCCCATTACCGTCCTCATTACCGTCCTCATTACCGTCCCCATTACCGTCCCCATTACCGCCCGGGTCCCCGCTGCCACCCCCGCCCCCATTGTTCCCGCGCACGCCAAGTGCCCGGCTCCGAGCGGCTCCCCGGGGAGGCTCCGGCCCCGGGAGAAGCCACAAGGTCAGGGAGAAGCCACAGGGAGAAGCCACCACCCCAGGGAGAAGTGCTCAGTCCCGCAGGAGCGCTCCACGCCGGGAAAGGCTCCTCAGGCGCGGCCTCTGCGGCCTCTCCGTCCCTCAGCCCCGGCCCCGCGCCCCGGGCCCCCCGGCCCAGCGCTCCGGCTGCTGCCCACCCACACCTGTCCGGGGGAGCCGGCGCCGGGCATGTCCGAGTCGGAGCCGGACAGCTCGCCGTCCTCCAAGTCGCCGTCCATGTCCCGCAGCTCCTGCGCCATGTCCCGGCGGAAGGGCGGAGCGCGGTGGCGGGGCGGGACAGCGCGTCTGTCCGGGGCGGGGATGCTGCGGGCTGGCCCGGCCGCGGCTCCTCCTTCCCGGCTCTTTCCCTGTGGGATGGCTGGTTGTGGGAGGAGGGCGCGAATTACCGGCCGTGTGTAGTGTCCCGGGGGAATGGTGGGGCCTGGGATGCTCGGCAGAAGCGTTGCGGGGTGTGGGATGCGGGATTCCCTTAAAGCCGSGTGTTCCATGGGGTGACGTCTCGGTGTGCTTTCAAGCCTGATCAGGAGATTAAAGAGGTTCGTTCTCTTCAATCGCACAGGCAGCAGAACCGTCCCGCAGTCAGGGACATCCTGGAACTGACAACAAGCTTTAAGGATGTACTTTAATGCGTATAAATATCTTCTGATGCCCGAAAAGATAGGCGAGAAATAAAACCCCATGGACCCGTGTCTGTAAAGCGGGTGTTTGTTTATTGCAGCGCWGGAGGTGAGGGGGATTTCTGCACCTATCTCACCCACCTCTGTTAAGTGCTGTGGTTTATTTATACAGTAGGTATTGCTCAGTATAATAACATTGTTATTTATGGGCGCAGAACTAAATAGCATATTGGTTATGTAGCAGTTCTATAAACGCGCTTGTGCTGCCCCAATTTAGGYGATCCTGGGGGTCTTCTTCGATGAAGGCTCAAGGTCTTCCTCACTKCTGACYTTTTCACACTTYTCCTTCAGAGCATGTGCAGTCATGGTGTTCTTTGTTTTTTMTGGCTCTRATTGGTCTAAATTCTTCATTTTGTGGCCAATTGGCTTTATATTTGCCARTTTYTCCTTAGTACATCCTGCTACTTCTTAATATAGCTATGCTTGTCTGTTTTGAGACCATCCGCCTGGCGAGTTTTTTATCTATTCAAGCTCTTAGCAGCTAGTTAACCATGTATTAGCTATKACACTGTATGGAAAGCTATGATCTGGGTCATATAGGTATATTGTAAATCAAGCTAATGAAAGCATCTTGTAACTTTGGCCCAAGTTGTCTAGGCATCACTCCAAGGCAGTTCCTAAGGGGATGGTCCCAGACTCTGTTCAGTGGTGCCCAGAGACAGGACAAGGAGCAGTGRCCATAAACTAAAMCACAAGAAATTSCACCTCAAYATRAGGAAGAGCTTTCCACTGAGGGTGGCAGAGCCCTGGAAGAGTTGCCCAGGGAGTCTCCCCCTCTGGAAGTACCACAAACCCACCTGGACACATTCCTCTGTCACCTGCTCTTGGTGACCCTTCCTGGGTAGGGAGTTGGATTGATCTGGATGATCTCCAGAAGGCCCTTCCAACCCTGCCATCCTGTGATCCTGCACTAGAATAGATACCAGTTACCATCTCCTGCTCAAGGACATCTGGGAACTAACAAGCTTTAAGGGGATGGTTTAGACAAATTACTAAAGGGCTCAAGGTGTTGTTAAGTACTGAGTGAGGAAAAAAAAAATCCAAGCAGATACCTCACAATTCTTCACCATGTATCAGCTACTAGATAGGTAGATTTTAATTAAAATAAAACAGCACAGATGATAAATAATTTCTACTGGAAACATCTTTACGCATTTGACTCCAGGAAAACAAACACAGATGTGATTTTTCTGAGAAGAGATACATCACAGCTAAGCATTTAGGGTTTTGGTGACATGAGCTTGAAGACCCAATGTATTTAAGAGATGCAGTTTTTCACTCCCACCATTAATAGGCCCATTCATGGACACAGTTTTTCCTTTATGTATTTTAGATCATCTTACCTGAGATGTGAAAAGTACCAGTGCTGTAGTGCCTCATTCTAAATCCCTGTTGTGGTCTAATTGGATTTTAARTGCTTGGACAGTTAACTGCAATGAAAATCACTTATCAATTAGCCATCCTCATTATCAGTTATCCAGTCAGGCCTTTGAARACCCCTCTTGACATTTTTCTGCTTCTTTGGATGGCTACTTTCCTTAAAAATCTCATTCCCGGGCTTAAATTTCCTGTTGTCTACCCTTGGAAGAAGAAAAGGCTCAAAGCTGAAGAAAGACCAGGAACAGTCAAAGCCCCTTCCCTGTTTGGTCCCTCATGACACTCCTGTTGCAGTGCTTCAGAATTATTCAAGATATCTAATGAAGAAGAGATAAATCATAGCATGCTTCTTTCTGTGTTGTTCTCACCTCATTTCCCTTTGAGTGTAATGATGCAGAGCACTTGCTAGTAACAYTCTGTTCTGCAAAAAAGGCTGGTTTTATCATGTTTGCAATTAAATAATTTCACTGAGTTACAGGGAGTTCCTGGGCTGAAGTCAAGTGGAACTGTGGAACAGGGGAAATGTAATACTCCAGTAACTCCCATGGACAAGTTCTCTGTGTCAGCATAACTTGTATATGGCACTGAACAAACCCCACAAGAACACTACCAAGCTCTGTGTTTATCTTCAGAAGGTAAACTTCTTAAAATGCCCAGAAGCAGGCCAGAAACAGGACTAAGAAGATAAATCAGATATCAGAACCGTTTACTCAAAAAACCAAAACCCCAAAAGAAAAAAAAGCAAAAAAAAGAAAAAAAAGCAAAAAGCTAAGCCAGTTGAGTCACAACATGTATATGGATTTCCTATATGAATTTTCTGTATTGAAATATGTCTTCTCATCTTCACCTTTAATGCAGGCTCAGCTCTTAAATGTCATTTTGTTTTCTGCCTTCAAGCATAGTAAGGACTATAGGCAAGACCCTGCTGGGCAACAGAGATATTCTTGGATAAACACTAATATTAGTCATGTTCTCCTTGAATTTTTTTGCACACCTTCAGTTTTCCCTTTAGCAAAACCAACTAAGTTGACAGAGAAAGCTTAATAAACACCCTTTGGATGAGTGTATCRCCTTCAAAATATCACTTCCAAGTAGGCTTAAAAATCATGTAATCAAGTGGAGCTAAGCACAATCCTGGTTTATGCCAGCCTGCAGCTACTCTCTATTGTGTTGCTGCTGTTTTGTGTGACTGGAGCCTCATCAGTATAGTTCCAGATAAGGTTCAGAAAATCCATCTCTGACTGTAGAAGGTTTATTTTGTGTAAACAGAGTCCTACTGAGGACATTTCATGTGTATGGAAACAAAATGTGCAGTATTATTTAAACCAGGTTGAATAAGTTGTGGGAAATTACTCCCCCGCTGCTCTGGTGGATTGTCTTGCAGCAGTGACTTTGTTTGGGATTCCTTGTGACAATCTCTGTGGTTGCTTTACATTTGTTAGCTGTAGGATAAGGTGCATCAGTTTCAGAAAATGTSACTTAATTAGCTGATTTTTTTTGTGAAATCCATTCTGTTTTTCCTGCCCTAATGAGCAAGTCAAACAGATGGAAATTGTTTATTTCGAGGTGTACTTTTGATTAAAGTAACCAAGGTCGTCATGGCTTCTTTACCTCATTGCCAGCTGAATTCACAATAGAAAAGACTCTTGACTCCTCCAGGATTTTTTTTTTTTTTTTTTTGCAAGAGTTCAATCGGTGTTGATAAGACTAAACAATCTGTTTGGCAGCACAGTATGTCCCAGCCCAAAGGATGTTCTCTTGGAAAGGGCATTATTCAGGAACATTTCTGCTCCTGGGCATGGAGCTGAACCTCGTGGAGGGGTGCAGTAACCTGATGCTTGTCCTCTGTGCTTCCACTGGATGAAAGATGAGTTTAGTTTACCTAAAAAAGTGCAGACACTTTCCAGCTAATCCCAGTTATTTGTCATCAGCATTCATCCTCCCACTTTGACTCCAGCACTGCAAATACCTGTTTTTAAAAGCCATGAATTCCTGAGATGTAGGCGGCATGCCAGGGTGTTACATCCTCAGTGTGGCTTTGAAACACAACAGCAAGAATATTCTCAGTGGTTTCTTTTCCAATAGGATTTGTTTAATTAAGTACTTCTTGGTTTATAGCACTAATCAAAACACTTTAAAAGCATACAAATGTACAAACCTAGAAATATCAGTGACAAAGAGCTGCATTAAGAGAAGACTTTTATGATGCCACTTAGTAAAAATTAAACTCTTCCAATGCATTAGCACCATGCAACCGTGAAATCCTGGTGAAAGTGAAATCCTTTAAAGGGGTCAYAAACTGAAAGAGATGAATATGCACAGAGGCATGAGAAGTGCATGTGAAGCCATCTCCTAGTGCTTCATGAGGAGATTTTCTGGTTTGTAGGTATGGAAGGTTAGAGGTATTCTAATGTGGAAGGACTTTTTGTTGTGTGTGTGTAGGTTTTTGTGGGGTTTTTTTGTGTGTTTTTTTTTTTTTTTTTGGTTTTTTTTTTGTTTTTTTGGGGGGTGTGCTTTTCTTGTTTGCCTTTTGGTGTGTGTTTTTTTTTGTTTGGTTGGGTGTTTTTGTTTTATACTTTGCTTTTGTTTTGTTTTTAATTCTTATTTTGTAATTTCTGACTATCCTATTCTGTTACAATTAATGGGCAGTAAACTAAATTTATTCCCCCAAGCCTAGTCTGTTTTGCCAGTTGATAAGTAATCTCTGTCTCCATCTTAACCCATGATCATTTTATTTTCTTCACCTTTCYTTCCTGTGGAAGTGATAGAGCACCTGGGGCCCAGCAAAGGCCAACCCACCACAGAAGTCAATCTCAGTCCTGATCTCACTGAGAAATTTATTTAATCTATTTAATTTAAGCTATTGGCAGCTTTTCTATTTACATTCAATATTTTCTTCCCAGTGCATCTTGTATTATTATTCACATCATTGTTATCCTTTGTGAATGGGGCCTGAAAGGCTGCATAAAAAAGMATTTAATTGAAAAATTCTGTGAAACAGACAGAAATTCTGGAGAAGAATGTTTTCATTCCAAATGTACTCTCACAAATAAGTRTTTGGTTTCAATAAAGCAGATATTAAAAGTTAATTGTTAGCTGATAAATATATGTGAGCAGGAAGGCAAAATGAACCTGGTCACTCTATCTAAGACTTGGACAGGCATTAATTTATTGTAATCATTGTAGCATATTAAAAAAGATGGATTAAATGTTT